CTCACACTAATTTATAATTATGGAAGTCTGGTCCGATCTAGTTTATTTAAGTCTGGTTTTGTCTGATCTAGTCTGATCTGGTCTAGTTCGGGAATGAGAACCGTCCATTTACTCCCTACAAGTTTGGGTAGTTGTATTCACGGTAGGCAACAAAAGAATGATTTTAAAGAGAGTATTCATCTTTTCCTATATTTAGCATCTTTCTTCAACTAATATCCAATCGTGCAATTGATTAATTAAGAAAGTCTTTTGACAAATGAGAAATGCCTTCACATTTTCACAAGGGTATTTGTAAATCCATGCGCATAATTATGACTAATTGATTTAGTAGTCTTTCCTAACTCCAAAACGAGTATTTTGAAATAGTATAGGTTCTTAGGGTGGATCGAAGTACAGAGTAATTTAATTTTTATGTAACTTTAATACATATCATATGTTTAAGAAGAGAGTCAGAGCAGCGGAATCGGGAATATAGGTTATGGTGGGTTGAACTTCGGGGTAATTTAATTTTTTTCAATTTGTTTAGTGTAATTTTTTTGATTTTTCACATTTAGCCCATCCAACTAATCTTTAAGGTTAGTAGAATTACTATTCAACCTAGGGTATCCAAATTTTCTGGATCTGCCCCCGAAGCCGATTCTAGGGAAACTTTAGGTGGTGATCTCTTGAGCAATTTCTTGACATCTCCGATCCTAAGCAACTCTCTGAGCATTGAAGTGATGAATCGTTGATTTTTCCTATGCTTCCGTTTTTTATTTGATTTCATTTACCTTCAAGATTTCTGATTTAAGTGAGTGTGAAATAGGTTTTTCTCTTAGCGACAGCTAAAGATTGTGTATTCTTCGTCGATGTAACTGATCAGGTAATAAATTCTCATTGTCATAGTTATCACCTCTTTTCCTTTAATTTCTTTTTTATTCTTCCATCTTCAATATGGAATTAAATTTTTCCAATTTTTTTGTAAGTTTTATTTGCCAAAAAAAAATCTTATTAGTGACAAGTATCATTTAACTTTATGGTCAATCAAATATCTTAAATCACATGACAACATTTAAGTGAGATGGAGGGAGTATGTTTACACACACACACACACACATATATTCATATGTCTATTCTTGTTATTTGCATAATTCATTTTTTCTTAACATTTAAATTTGGGAAAATCGCATATATGGCCCCTCGGTTATCCACGAAATTAAAATCTCAGACCTGTATTTCTGAGATTGTAAATGTCTCCCCTCAATTGTCCAAAATGATGTAAATGTGATTCTTTTGAGGGGTGAAATATACAATGTGGGCGATAATACATTTCACTACTTAAAGCAGGGATGGATTTAGGGGGGGCGGGGGGCGGGGGGGGCGACCGCCCCCCTTGGAATTTCAAAATTTTCTACCATATATGTAATATTTTCATAAAACTTTCATAATTTAATTAGATTCGCCCCCCTTAGCTTTTAATTTTCAAAATTAATATATAGTGTTACATAATGTAATACTTAATTGAAGATTTAAAAGAAGAAACATCTAAAATAATTACATAACTTAAACAAATAAACAATAGAATAACTCGTTGTTTAAGATTTAGGATACTTATTATATAAGAATTTCTAGTTTTGTAATGTTTAATTATCTTTATTAGATAACAAGTACTTGATTTTGTAAAATATATATCAAACAATATTAAATATCAGACACACTAATTACATAGTTTTTAGATCACGTGAAATGAATCCAAAATATAATTGTTTATTGACATTAAATTACATAATTCATTTACTTCTTGCTTTCTAAAAATAATTTATTGCATAGATAATAAACTTTAAATTATTATAGCATTAATACAAATATTAAAATATAATATGCACCATATATGTGTGTGTATGTGGTGCATATTATTCTAAAAATAATAATATCATACATACTACTATTGTAATATTAAGAAAACTTCTCATGAGTCATGACTCACGAACACCATCCTTGGTGGCCGGACAAAAATTACAATTCAATAATAACCGATTCATGAGGTTAAACAATGTAGACGTTATTAAAAATGTATTAGTTGATGTCTTTGTCATCGTCTAATTTAATCTTAGAATGTACTACTTAATAGATTTAAATGTCGTTGGGGATGTGTATGTATTAATGTCATTTTTTGAATAAAATTAGCCGCATAGCCCTACAGTAGCGGAAAAAATTCGCCCCGCTACACTAGGGAAAAAAAATTCGCCCCACTACACTAACGAAATTTTTTTCACCCCCCACACTACCGAAAAATTTCGCCCCCCTTGAATAGAAATCCTGGATCCGTCCCTGACTTAAAGGACCACATTTACAACATTTTGGACAATTGAAGAGTGACATTTACAATCTCAAAAATAAAAGCCTGAGAATTTAATTTCGTGGATAATTGAGGGACCATATATGCGATTTTACCTTTAAATTTCAAAAGTATTTATGTCAAAGGATTTATAGCTTATTTAAGTTTTTGATGAGTGAATCCCAAATTAGTTTTGATTTTATTTATTATTAATACATTTCATTTTTTCTTTAATACTCCGTATAAATTACTTTATTTGTAGGTTGACAGGTTGTAATTTATTGTGTTAAGAAACAATATTTAAAGGGTTCAACCAAATCTGCAATAAAATACATAGTATAAGATATCATTCAACGGTTCAACCAAACAAATTAATGTCGCATTCCTTTAATCTTAATTATATACAAATGAAAATAAATTGAATACATTTTTATCAATATAATATACTCAACAATCAAACATTCCCTAATAATCTCACATTCCTTGAAATCCATGATTGTTTAATGTTTGAGGTATCGGTAGAACCGTACAAGCAATTGGAGTAGTTCTTTTAGGATTAATTAGGAGTACGTGACCCCTTTTATAGTTGTATGTCAACTAAGGGTTGGTTTGCAAATGCGGTAAAAAAGCACATATCAACTTTTAGTTTTAAAGAACACTTATTTTATCAAATACTATCAACTTTTATTTTTCTCGACTTTCGTGTCAAAAGTGTTTTTACTTTTTCTATTACACAAAAAACACTTATTTTACCAAACACTACCAACTTTTACTTTTCAAAATCACGTTTTTCTCAAACACTATCAACTTTTATTTAATCATTTCTCCTCATTTCATCAAAAAACACCTTTTTAAGGCAGAAGCTGTTGCAAACAGATCCTAAATGAAAGATCAACGGCTAGAATCACCAAATCTCAATAGGTCAACAAGTCTGCTGCTATCCGCTATAATTACATACCTAGGGACGTAGCTCACCTGATAGGAAGAGAGTGCCACAAGTGAGATGTCCCGGGTTCAACTCCAAGCAATGACTTGGGATTAAGGATGGCAATGGGGGCGAGGACCCATGGGGAACCGCCCCGCGGGGGGGGGGGGGATGGGGGGGGGCTTGGGGCGGGGCTTGGGGCGGGGCTTGGGGCGGGGGGGGGGGGGGGATGGGTGATATATTTTTACGCCGTTATAATATGGGGTAGGGCAGGGGTGGAGACAGGGGGAGGCTGGCGGTGGCCACGGCTCCTGCAAGAAAAAAATTGTGATGTATATATACATGTATAAATATTTATAAGTAGTGAAAAATATAGTGAAAATTTAAGTTTTGGCCCCTGCTATATAAATTCTTTAAGCCCCGGCCCCTGTAACCTATCAATACTGGCTCCGCCACTGGGGCGGGGGACAGGTATTGCTACACCCGCCCCATCCCCGCTCCATCCCCGTTATAAATATATACTCACATATATAAATAATGTAAACACATACGAAGTACATAATACGTGGATGAGTGAGATATTTTTACGCCGTTAAAATATGGGGCGGGGGATGGGTATTGCTACACCCGCCCCGTCCCCGTTATAAATATATACTCACATATATAAATAATGTAAACACATATTAACAAACGTATAAATATACACATATATAAATAATGTACACACATATTAAATTAAATTATATGTAGTGTATAACAAACACATATACATATAGACATACATAATTGTATACGGTTTAATTATGGTTAATGAATTAATACTAGAATAATGAACTATTAATGGTTAAAAATATTTATTACATGAGTTTTAAGAGTGAGAAAGTGAGTCAACAAATACACACACATTTATATGTAATATAATATGCAATTAATTGTATAATAGTTGTTGAAAGTTTTGAAACAACGTACATGATGATACTATATTTATACTTTAATTATCTTCAATTCACAAAACTTATTCAAAAGGAAGAATTATTAAAATTGGCGATATTAACTTTTAACAAACACAATACTTCAATGTTGCGTGTGTGTATCATATATTACTGTGCGCACATAAATGTATATAGGTTTAGGATCAAATGAGAACAACGCTTAACGTGAGAACGTGCAAGCACCACATTTACCCCCAAAGTGAAGCACAATGGGCTCGCACAATGCACTTTTTCGTATCTAGCATAATATTTACAAAAGTGTCATCGTTATTATTTATATTAGCTTGTATTGAGCGAAGTCCAAATGTGCACTAGAATGGCTTTATTGTGTATCACATTGGATTAAATGTGCGTGTTTCGACGTTAAGCATGGTTCTCATTGGAACCACACTACATATATTTATAATAAGAGATTAAAAGTATATGCAAATACGATAAATTGAATCTATATAGGGGCATCCATGGGCACCTGTGGGCACCCGTGGGGCACAACGGGGTGGGGCGGGGATGGGACGGGTTTGGGAGTAACGGGGATGGGGGGAACTTTTTTAGACATGGGGTGGCCGGGGATGGGGGAGTGTACCCCCGCCCCATTGCCATCCCTACTTGGGATGGAGCCTCACTTTCTTTCCATTAGAGTGAGATCAAAACTCAATTTACATTCTCTCAACTAGCTGTCCGATAGATGCGGGGTCCTGAGGGAGATTGAGTGTCATCCTTTTTTTTTTTTCGCTATAAATACGTCCATCTACACATCATATTTTAAAAAAGAGCTAATCTTCTAGCTAAAAGTATAGTAGACACCCACATATCACACATATTTGTGCACTTCATTTTCAATCCACAGCACCTGCTAGCTTACCCTCGGCTCCCAATCAGATCGATGGCTGGGATTAACATGCTACCATTGGCCACGTCATGTATTCTCCTTTTGGCATTTCTTATCTCCGATGTATCCGAGGGAAGGGCGACTCCTTCGTTGACCAAATTATCAGCTGACGACCGGCGGCTGTCATCATCATCCTCAAACTATGCCGTCTTCAACAGTAACCCGAGTCCCGGCGCCGGTCATCATGATACTCCCGCAGGTAGCACACCCCCAGCAGCTGCCTCCGCCGATGGCCTGCCGTCGTCGTCCTCTATGTATACCATCTTCAACAGTAACCCAAGTCCCGGCGCCGGTCATCACGACACTCCCGGAGGTAGCACACTCCCAGCAGCAGCCTCCGCCGATGACCTGCCGTCGTCGTCCTCTATGTATACGGTCTTCAACAGTAACCCAAGTCCCGGCGCCGGTCATCACGACACTCCCGGAGATAGCACACCCCCAGCTGCCTCAGTTCCCGCCATTAATTAAAATGATGAAAAGCCTTAATGCCTTATACACATATATTGACCCATCTTCAACCTTGAATCATTCGATTTACAACCACATACACATATATTTCGAAGTTACATTTTATGTATTTAAACAATGATCAAAAGTATTGATATCAAAGAATAAGAATTAATGAAATACTACGTATTTCTACCTATGTTTGGTGCTTCTACCACGTGTGAATTATACGGTTCATACTTCATGCCAAGGTTTTAAATAGTCGTAGCGGTAGCGGTAGCGGTAGCGGTAGCAGTCATCGCGGGTAGCGGCCCGTAGCCGACTGTAGCGGTTGTAGTGGCGTGAAATATTTTCAATTGTGCAAAACATAAATGTATTTTTTCACATCATTCACACAACATTTAATTTTGAGTTTCACTCCATGCATCACCATTATGTATTTTTTTCACATCATTCACACAACATTTACATATTTACACATCAAACAGTTCGTGATGTACTGCCGGAAATGTCAATAGCGGGTTGTAGCGGGCTGTAGCGGGCGGTGTGTAGCGGTTTTTTTCCCGTGATTTGGAAATCACACACGAATAGCGGGCCGTAGCGGTAGCGGCTCCTACCGCGACCGCTATATAGCGGCCGCTATAGCGGTAGCGGGCCGCTATTACAAACCATGTTCATGGGCATACCAACAATTGTGGTCAACTTACACACAAATGCCCATTTCTATATTACCGGTGTGTGCCGATGAGATAGAGCAACAATATCTTTATCACTCAATCCCATTTGCTCTCAAATATTCTTATCAGGCAAGAGACCTAGCTTCAAGAGGAATGTCCAGCTTATCTTGAAAAACATAAGAGCTCAACATTATCAAGAAACAAAGACTTCATCAATATACATTAAAGAAAGATCACCATGCATACCTGTGGACCACCAGTAATCTCAACACCCACAAATATTCCAGATAGCTTCATGGGTATAAAAATGTATAGAATTGAAGTGCCAGACAAAGATTAGATGAGGGGAAAAGGGAAACACAAATACACAATTAAGAGGCTGTTTGGAATCATTGTTTTTCAGCTTATGAGCCAACTTTTTCACCAAACACGTAATTTTTACTTTCACGCGCTGAATTGTGTAATAAGCAAAAAAAGTAAGGTTGATGGCCTGTTTGGTAACGGCTGCAATAGCTGTCATGACTGAAATTGCTGAAGTGAAAGTGTTTGGTAATATTTGGACTGAAGTGGCTGATTGAATGTATAATTACCAATAAGGGTATTTCTTTAATTTCTTTATATTCTGACTATATTTATGTAGATTTGCTAGTAAAATCCTTTTGACTAATATGAGAAATTAATTTTAAAAACTAAACTTTTTATTAATTATAGTAACAAGCTAGCTAACATGCATATAAATAAAAATGGAACATGAACTAAACATTAGTGTCAATTGGAATTCTACAAAAATGAAGGAAATATACATACAGTAAACATATTACTTGTTGGAAATTTTTGAATATTTCAAATGAATAAGTTTTTTAATTATTATTTTATGAAAATTTTATGACTCAAAAGACTATTTTAAATTATAATTTTAACCTGTTACAAAATGGCTCTTCACCTACAAATTATTATTGCTTTTAACGTTATACATTGTTTTTAATGATGAAAAACGTACTGTTAATAATGGCCATTAATTTGGTGAAAGCCAATTTTATCAACTTGTTTATAAATTGAACTCTCCTGCGGTCAAGCTAAAAGAGATAGTTTTCACTGGTTCGGTCAGGGAGTATACTAGCCATATACGAAGTGTATATTTACATGAGACATATTACAAATTATATTTTGTTCATATGATTATTGGGTTCATATATTAATCTTCTTCTCGTTAGTTCTGTTACCGGTTTTGTACCGAAGGGCTCGTTATATCTTGGGAGAAATTTCCGTACGCCGGGAATAATTCCTTAGGACAGCGTCTGATGCGTCTCGAGCCACTAATATACTTTTAGTTCTTTTTAGTGATTATTTTGCAGGTCAATTCTCGAAGCTAGATAGTCAACGAGATTAATTTAGGAGCAACACGGTCAACACGTTGATTTTAGAAGGATAGAGCCAACAATCTAAGGAATTATCGGCAAATAAAAATTACACCTACGGAACAGTCAACGTGGTGGATACACCTCCTGTGACTAGTGACGCCAAAAGTATGGCTACATTTCTAGCTCCCAACAATGGTTAAATTTACGGTATGTTTTTTTCATAGCTTTTGTTCAAAAAAATCATTTTTTAGATAATGTATGTTTTTGGGGAAATCCACCAAAATAAAATTGAAACTTTGTTGGCGGTGATGATATAATTGGTGCGGTTATTTTTTCAAATTGACGAGTGATGTGGGAATGAATAGACGGTAGATTTTGAGGCTACCAAATTCATTTGTGAATACAAAATTGTTTTCCTCCTATTGTCTAATAGTAGCTGGAAAAATAGAGAATTTGTTGAAACTCACATCAGAAAAAATTGTTATCTTTAAATGATGTATTTAATTTAAAGAGTTTGAATTTTGAATAAGTTGTGGTTAGAGTTATTTTTATATGTGATAAAATTATTATGATTATTGAAAACAAAAATATTAATAATAAATTTGTGAAATGTATGGTGAACTATATAAATTTTATTAATATTAATTTTACCATGACATGAGGTTGTAAAAGACTATTGTCAAAATGGATGTCATGCATTGTATATGTTTAGTTTTCTAAATTAATGGCTTGTTTTAAAAAAAAAATTAAATTGCCCGTATCTGTTGGTTGTATTTGTAATTTTCTATTGTTTATTATTATTACAGTGTCATATTAAATTTTTTAAAAATTCTTTGAATCCTTGCTATTAATTTTAATTTAATTGTGATTGTTGAAAATTGAGAATTGCATCGGTTATCGTTAATTAATTTGTATGTCATTACAGAAATCATTTTTGGTGTATACATGGTTGAGTGGTGCGCTCAGACCTCTTTGATTACATTTTGTCATTGGAGAGTCTTCTTTATCTTTATATTTAAAAATTAATTGAAGTATGTATTTTTGCATGCAATTGTGAATATAAGTTGAGAATCAAACTGTGCTGAATAGGCCTTGGTGATTGCAAAGATTTTGTCCACATTATAACATTCTGTTAGGGGCTTTTGAGTGGAATGATCTTATTATCTTTATTATCGCAATTTTAATTGCCTAATGTATGATTTTTTTTTTGTGCATGCATACCTGGTATGTAGTTTTGGATGGCTATAATTTTGAACCATTTCTTTTATATGAGAAATGTCTATGAGCCTAATTTTTAAAATGTTTAAAATGTGGGGGTGTTTAGCTAAAATTTTATTACTTGCTATAAAGAGAGAAAATAAATTTCTTGGTAGACGAGAAATACTTTTGTGAAGGGAAAAGTTATATTATTTGAAACGTATATTTGGTGAAAATTAATTTTGACGTGGATCATCGTTTTTTATATGTTTCTAATTTTGTTGTTATGCTTATTAGCTACCTTGAGTTAATAAATGGCTTATATAATTTTTGTTGTTTATTCATATGTTAAAATAGTGGAACACATAGTTTTCTTATACTAAAGAAACAGTGTGCTTGTGTGTGATGCTTTAAGCTACATTATTTTTTAGATTAATGTGATGAATTTTGAGGGGAAAATGTGTATACCCTAAATAATGCATGTGAGATTATTGTTTTATGTGTTGCTAGATTTTTTTTATATGCTTATTTCAATAGCTATATCGAGTTGATAAATGATATATGAAATAAATAATTGTAATTTTGAGTATTAAAGTCATAAGAAAGAATGACGTTATTTTACTATCATTATATTGAGATACTTCTTTAGAAGTTTGGCATTTCAGTGTTAATAATGTGAATATCCCTTATGACTTTAATAGAAATTTAAAAATAAAACACAAAAATGTGATTCCAAGGCTTCGTTAAAAAAAAATGTGATTCCAAGACTCAATATGTGACACCGCATCCGGATGTACTTGAATTTGAAATTCAATACGTATTTGAATTTTCTATGCGAATATTTTTGTGTGCAAGAATGATATATTTAATTAATGAATGATTAATTAAATTATTTATCGGGCCCATGATACTGAGAGCGGGCTACCAAATATTTAGTTGGGTCATCATAATAATTATAGAAGCCCAATAAAATGCCAACTAAAGTTGAGGAAAATGTTTGGACAACCCAAGTACTATTTTGACCCAACCTGCCAGAAATAACAACAATAATTGGGAGGAGTTTCCTACACCCATTTGGGAGTATTCTACACACTCTAGGCTCTCAAATAATGGGGAGGGGGACAACCAAGAATGGTTGGTGCGGATGAGTGAAAGGGGAGGCCTCTTTGAGACAAAACCTATACCCCCCATGTCATATCCTTCACAATTGTTTTGTGTTGATTGAGAGGAATCTTCCCTCTACCACTCTTGCATTCATTCGGCCAACACAAGGGGGAGAGCTCAAAGAAAAACCAAAGCTCTCACAAAGCTCAAGCTAGGAGAAAGCAAGAGGGAAGGAAAAACCCAACACAAAAGGCTAGGAATTGAGGTAAGAACCCAAAAGGCTTCATTAACTAGTTTTGTATTCATATGATTTTTAAGAAATCATATAGTGGATTAAACCAAGAGTTCTACACATTTAAAAGTGTATAATATTGATATAAAGTGGTGGTATTTAACTTAGAAGAGTTGTGGAATCGATAGGAGTTGAAATCGCCGGAAAACCGCCATTGTTGGGGACTGTTTTCGAGCTGCAGGCCCGAAAGCCGCCCACCTTTTGCCAAAGCCGCCCACCTTTTGTCTGCTGTCCAGAATTTTCACTTTCAATTGGCCTAGAACGGGGATTGATCGAAGGGCTTAGCAAAGGCAACTAGTTGAGCACATCATAAGGTGAGGATGGCTGACTATATTGTTTATAACTAGTGGGTTAATTCATGAGATTACCTAATGTTATAAAAGCATGATTTTAATTAACTAATGTGCCAAGTAAAGTGTCAATTGATCATATTGTTGTATATGAAGAATTGATGCATGATTGATTGGGGTATAAGTAATTGGAGCATGGTTACTTGATATGTTTGAGAAGTTGTTCTAGTTGGTTTAGTGATGAACTAATAAAATGTTTTATTAATCACTATTTAACTATATTGACTTTATGGTTAGTAAAATCAATATAGAATGATGCGAGGATGAGTCATGGCATGGCCGCCATGTTTGTTTAAAAGGGAAAGAGAATTTGAACTAAGAATAACTCGGGTGGTACTAAGTGACTAGTTCGAGGTTATAGTATGAACATTTATAAATTAATCCTAAGTTTAGGATTGTGAT